CTTTCCCCTTCTCTCAGGATATCACAGCATTAGTCTTCAATATGAGGTCTCAACACAAACTTAACTTGTGTAGCGTAAAAGAACCAACCCATACACCAGGGTCATATTTAGCCACCCTACCAACACTCCCCGCAAAACACACAGAGCCTGACTGACTCTTTAGCAGCGGTTCTCAACCTGTGGGTCGCAACCCCTTTGGGGGTCGAACAACCCTTTCACAGGGGTCGCCTAAGACCATCGGAAAACACATATATAATTACATATTGTTTTTGTGATTAATCACTACGCTTTAATTATGTTCAATTTGTAACAATGAAAATACATCCTGCATATCAGATATTTACATTACGATTCATAACAGTAGCAACATTACAGTTATAAAGTAGCAACGAAAATAATTTTACGGTTGGGGGTCACTATAACATGAGGAAGTGTATTAAAGGGTCGCGGCATTAGGAAGGTTGAGAACCATTGCTTTAAAGAGACAGGCTTCCTTCTGAATTTGGGTAACTCTATCTGTATACCCACGGCAGCTAACAGTAACTACATGTGCATACTGAAAAATCTAACCTTGAAAAAATACCTGTAGCCATCTTTTAAATGTCCTTATCAATGTAATCCAAAAACAAAAGTGTTTGGTAGAAATGATAATTCATATAGTTGGGAAAATTTAGATAACCTCATCTTGAATCTCTGAAAGGTTGACAATCTTTTAGTTCCCTATGTCTCAGGAATGTGGTGGCCACTTATAATGCAGTACTTGAAGCACAGTCATGGTCTTAAGTTTGCTATTCGGGACATCAAAACAGAAGACATCAAACTGGCAGAGAAGACTTTAATGGCAAGACACAAATGGGAATGCTGAGATCCTCATGAGATCTGGAAGTTAAAGGCTTGAAAGAATTTTCATTTAATACAAAATTTACCTGGAAAAAATTTTATCATTAGTAGCATATTGACACCGTCTATATGGTATCATGGAAAGATTTCTTCATTCTCTTGTCTTTATATAGCCAATATCAAACTTTCTTTCTGTTATATTAAAAAAATACTGGTAATTTTCTCTAAATTGTCTCATGTTTGGAGATGGGGAGGGAAAGCTGAAGGGAAGGGAGACAGAAGACCCAGTTAGGAACAAAAGAGAGAAAAAGGAAAGGGAGGAAGGAAAGAAAACAAAAACAATAACACAGATGGCGAGCCATAGAAGAAAAAGGAGCTGAATTGAATGGGTGGGCCAAGCAATTGTTTAATAAGCCAGACAGCTCTTTACTAGGAAACTGTGATTCATTTTCCCAGGAAATGAAGTAGAGTAACAAGTGCGTGTGAGGCTTTTCAGATTCATCAAGTTGGTATCAGAAGATCCAGAACTCTAATCGAAGTAATTCCAATTTTAGGTAATTTAAAAGAGGAAAGCCTTCTTCCCAAACCAATGTCAACAGACTCCTAATGGGTATCTTCACAGGTGAGCTCTCTCCCTTCCATTTAATGTAACATTCTGCTGTTGATTAATTTTTCTAATATAAAGCTCTGAGATGTGTCAAATTTTTAAAAATACAATGGAACCTCACCGAATCATTTTTTCTTATTAGAAATAATGTAAATTAATTCACATCAGTTCCAGACCCCCAAATAATTCCATTTTAACCTTTCTTATATATAGTACATGTCTATTGTACTGTTTAATCTATAAACTTTAAAAACAAAACAGACATGAAATGTTAATGAAAATTTAACAAAAAGGAAAGAAAATATACAATAAAAAATGAAAATTTAATAATTATAAGCACCAACAAAAGCAAAAAGACATGAAAATATTCACAGTACAATATCCTGAGATTTTAACTGTGGTAAACCAACTCATATTCACTCATTCTCTCCTTTGTCACCTGAGAGATGCATGACTGATCATACTGATATCAGCATGAAAGGGTTGCCAGGTTAAGAAGTGAATTGTTAGAGAGGGAGCTATTTGAGAAAAGAGGTTCCACTGTATATGTTTTTATTGATTTTAGAGAGGAAGGGACAGGGAAGGAGAAACAGATACATTGATGAGAGAGAGAGACATAGATCCGCTGCTTCCTGCACACCCTCTACTGGGGATCGAGCCCATTAAGTAACCCAGGCATGTGCCCTGACCTGGAATAGAACCAGGGAACTTTTGGTTCATGGGTCAATGCTCAACCACTGAGCCATACAGGCCAGGAAGGTGTGTCATTTTTAATCAAGTTCCTGAAGCTAATCAAATTCAGCAGAGAATTCCTTATTCTGGCATTTAAGATTCCCCCTAATCTGGGCCCAACCAGCCCTTCTAATTATGTCTTGGATTAAATCTTTTCACAGGCCCCATACAAATGCTAAGCTGAACTACAACATCCATTCCAAAGACATTCCCGGATTTCATAGTTTGTCTCATGCTAAATTCTGGGACTCAGAATTCTTCCTTTTGGAAATAACTACATATCCAAATCTTTATCTTCCTTAAAAGTCATTCAACTCAAACACACTTCTTTCATAAACCTTTAACCTACCACCCACTTAGAAATAATGTTTCTATCATCTGAAATTCCTCTTTTTGGCATTTACCATCAAAAATACCTTGTGTAATAGGTGTTTTTTTAAATTACAGATTTATTAAAATATAATTAATGCAGTGGTCTCAACCTTCTGGCCCTTTAAATACAGTTCCTCATGTTGTGACCCAACCATAAAATTATTTTCGTTGCTACTTCATAACTGTAATGTTGCTACTGTTATGAATCGTAATGTAAATATCTGATATGCAGGATGGTCTTAGGCGACCCCTGTGAAAGGGTCGTTCGACTGCCAAAGGGGTCGCGACCCACAGGTTGAGAACCACTGAATTAATGTAACATAAAATTTGTCTTTTTAAAGCATACAATTCAGTGGCTTTTATATATTTATGGAGGTGTATGACCATCACCAGTATCTATTTTCTGAATATTTTCATTACCCCAAAAAGAAACCTAGAACTCATAAGCAATCAGTCCCCATTCTCCACATTTTACAGCACTTGCCAATTAATCTGCCTTCTATGTCTATTAATTTGCCTATTTTGCTTATTCCCTATAAAGGGAATCATACAAGACTGTCTTCTTTCACTAAGCATAATGTTTTTACCCATATTGCATCATGTACCTGTACTTCATTCCTTTTTATTGTCAAACAATATTCCACTGTATAGATATACCATTTTGTTTATCCAGCCATCAGTTGATAGGCCTTTCTTTACACAGAGTGGAATCAATGTGTCAGATGGTAACTATATGCTTAATATATTGAGGAACTGCTATACTGTTTTCCAAAGTGACATTCCTGCCAGCAAGGTATGAGGTTCCCAATTTCTCCACCTTCTTGTCAATACTTATTGCCTTTTAAAAAAAATCATTATTATAGTCATTCCAGTGACTGTAAAGTGATATCTCACTGTGGGTTTTATTTGCATTTCTCTAATGATTACTAATTTTGAGCATTTTCCTATGTGCTTCTTGACTGTTTGTATATCTTCTTTGGAGAAATGTCTGTTCAAATTACTTGCCAAATTTTAATCTGGGTTTTCTATTTATTGTTAATTTGAAGAGCTCTCTCTATATTTTGGATACAAGTTTCTTATCAGATATATGATTTGCAAATATTTTCTCCCATTCTGTAGGTTTCTTTTCACTTTCCTGATGATGTTCTTTGAAGCACAAAACTTTATT